ATCAGCACATGCGTAAGTGGGCTATCTGATCCTAGTATGTTGCACATATAACAATGCAAAGCCAAGAATTAAGCATGGCAAGGTGTCGCAAACAGCGCATTTCCACAAAGTCAAAATATCAACGTCACGTGCGCCCGTTGACTAAAAATTGAGGGCTCGCATCACATATGTCACGTTGTCTTTTTTTATTATACTGATAAGCCTGAAAACTTTTATATTAAAATGTTATTTCTCAGTTCCTTTTTTATGGTACCCTAATTTGAAATCAGGGGCGCGCAGCTACAGCCTTTGCAGCGCAGACGTACGTGAGTTTCGAAATTTCTTTGTCATGCGGCCGTGTCTACAAAGGTCAAAAGAACCGATCAGCTTCAATGACAGACTGCGTGAACACCCCATTTTACTCCCCACAGGTACTGGTGGAAACTCACCTCTGCACTGCAAGGACTCTACGTCCCTGATTCCAAATCAGTAAGTGTCATTGGCAAAGGAATAAAAAATAAACTTGAACGTAAAGTATTTAAAGCCTTCAGAATAAAACAAAACATGGCAAACCATCATGTGTAAATCATCCATCAGTTTTCCTTACAGATAAAGAATTCGCGTTGCTTCATAGCGATTGCGTGCACGGTAGCGTCTACTCTGTAGTGTTTCATGAAAATGTGCTGTTTGTAACACCTTAACACCTGTGCACTGTAAGGTGTTCAACTTTGAAATGACACAGATAGCATAATTTATGCACGCGTTGCTGGGTTGTGTGTGAATGGGCTTTCTGCAATAACCATTGTGTTTGAAGTCCGATGCTTGCTCTCTGTGGTTGTTCTCTTGTTCTCCTTTGCTGTTTTCGTGTCTTTCGTTGGATTCCTCTTTCGAATATTATGAAGCAACTAGCACAGCAAGCTGCGTTAGTGATGTACTGTTTCAAACACCGTTGAGAAAAATTGGCATCTAGATTTAGTTAGTCGAATTCAGTCGAAAATAGAACACGGGTGAAGGAAGGCGCAGATTACTCGGTTTGATTGTCTGACATTTGCATGACAAAGTGGAGGAAACACAAGACATCACGTACTCAGTGTTTTATCCGCATGCATTCATGTTCTGTGCAGTACTTCACACGAAGTTGATGGTGATCCTAATCTTGCCCAATGGTAGACATTGCTGAACCTGCCAACTGGATCGGATGGTTTGATAGAGCATACATCATCTGTTGTGTTGATCGTCTCTTTCTCTCTTCATGAAAGGCTGTGTTCCAATTCCTTAATGAACTTTTTTTAAATACGCATGCCGCAAACAGCTGGCTCCTGCTCGTTTATAAGCAACTATAAGCAACTGCTTTCATACGCATTCAGCTCAGTTTATTACCTTGATGGTCCCTCTTTCTTGTAAGGGCATTACATAAGGGGGTTTCTACATTAACTAGCGCCAATCTTCCCCTTTGAACAGTAAGTGTTCCTTCACTCGTTTTAACAGTCGAATTGATTGTTATTCCAATACCAACTTTCCAACCCTTTTATTCATACATATTGTGTGAAAGGGAGTATGTAGACTCGATCATCAGCCACAATATGTTGGTATATAGGCCTCGCCAAACACCACCGTTGGCGCTGTCACCGACCTGTATTCGCTTAATAAAAGGGAGCTTGAAAGTAGCTTAAAATTAACGTTTGTTTTGAGTCCAACGCTACCTTCCTACGTTATTAGGAGTACTGAACAAGTTTCATAGCGAAAGCTGTTATTAGATCACAACTCGGGTCACGCTCAGTTGTCCGCCGCCACTGCTGTCCGAAACCAAACTGCATGAAAATAGAAAAAAAAACAGCATTAATGGCGCAATGGGGCTTGAACTCGGGTCCACAATGAGGCGTGAACCCGGGTTGATGTCGGGAAAGCAATCGCGTTAATACGACTTATAAAGCGTTTTAAAACAGCGGAAAATTTAACAGTCGTCGCACAGTGCGAGTAGCGTAGCGTGTGGGTCGTCCAATGCTCCAACCCATTACAAAAGATTGTTCTTGTTCAGCCATTAACTGTGGCGCATACCCACTTCAGGCATTATTCCTCATCGTCGTCAGCCACTGCATGAACAATTGGTACAAAATTCCTTGCAAGTGCTTAAGATACCACGCTTATCAGAAAAATGATGAAAAATAGCGGAGCGAATGCAGGCCTACTACCCTCAAATTCTTACTATTAATGCCGTAGTAGGTATCAAGCTAGTGTGCTTGCAGTAGTTACGCAATGCGCGTTTAGAAAAGGCTCTGAAAGGCCGCTCTTCTAGCTTTCGCTGTGACTGTGCTGCGTCTTCCGCGCAGGCCTGGCGTTTTTTCTGATTCAGTTATTTAACTGTAACCGGCTGGCAAATTGATTGCGATGCGTTTACTAGAGGGCAGAATTAAGAAAGGAGCGATAATTTACTGGTGACAGAATAAACTGCCGAAGAAAGCCAGGTTTACTAAAAAAAAAAGAAAAATTTAATCGGCGCGCCGACGTCTCGGCGCACCCCTCTAGGTGCAAATAGACTCTCCCTGACTATCCTATTTCAATGTTGACAAACACGGCGGTTGCCACGGAGGAAGGCCCTTGGTGGTTGCTTATTTTGCCAGCTGGAAATGAAGTCACGTGCGTGTTGGCCTAAAGGAGTCTCCTCAGCAGGCGTCAAAGAGCGGTAAAATGGGCAATCGCAGGGAACTGTGGGATACTACGGCTTCTGGTTCGACGCACCTTACGGGTCGGCAGCGGCACGCGCGCATTTTTGTACTGCTCCATTGAAAAAAGCACCTCGCCGTGCAATGTCAGTGCTTTAGAAGGTTTTTTTTTTTTTTTGCCAACCGTGACTATGACGATGACAAGCTACGAAAGCCATGAACGGTCCGGAAACTTTTTGTCGCACTAAAATGATGCTCGGGGGTGCTGCCAAACCTAGCAGATCAGTCGATACGTAAAACAGTTTTCCTTGTATCATACGGTACTGTACGTAAAAAGTCACCAATTTAAAGATCTCAGGGGATGGGGAGGACTGTAGCAGTGTGTTAAGAGTTCATTTCGGGATCACTGCTACGGCCGAACTCGTGAGTCGATCGGCATGAAGCGCAACATTTATTGATCGCGTTGAGATATTTTTTTTCTAGCCTTCACTGCGTTATAAGATGCATTTTTTAGTCGAAGGCAGATGCTTATTTGAACGCTGATCTTGGTCAAGCTGCACGGCACGGTGGCACATAAACAATACAGTCAGACATATACGGCGCCGAATAATCGAAACCCTGCGCTTTGTAACGCACTTCCTCCTTTGGGTGCCGTCCTGGCGCGCAGTTTGACCAAGATAAACGCAAACGGACTCGTCCAGCGCTTCGTGTAAACTTATTCTTGAGTGAAGCTTTAGCGTTTTTTGTCATGTATATGGGTGCAATGGCTGGCGCTCATCTCGTATGGCAGGTAGATTTCGCCCGCGCATTCCCATAATATCTTTGCTAGGCGTGCCTGAGCGACAATTTATTTCTCAATATAATATACGTAGCAAATTCATGCGTAAGCTTTTTTTTTTTTTAGCGTGGAATACACACGTACCTGTGATAAAATGGTTTTCGCACACTCTGGCTTCAACGTTCCGTACTCAAAGGCTATACCTGTCGCTGTGGCTGTCATCACAGTCGCAGCCCACCTCATTTTTTTTTTTTCTTCGTTCCATGGGAATTATACCTGAGTTTGCCATTCACACTCGAGTAGGAGCAGCCAACGGCTGAAAAACAGACCATGGTTTATCAGGACGAACATCTGAGGCTTGCGGCGAAGCGGTTTGGCGTCTTCTACTCTTCTCGAACCGGAAGCCGGTAGCAGACGGTGCATCCCACAATCTCTCACTTTTTTTACTGGTCACCTATTAAAAATACGAGGTATGCTGTCTCCATAAAATGTGCGCAATAAAAGGGTGGTACAGAAATCTGTTGACATCAGCAGCATGATTGCCCTACTCTGATGGCAGAGACTGCTCCACAGCGCGGCGCACGAGCCATCTCCACACAGAAACGGCTGTTGCACCGCATGGAAGTGACGTCATGAACGTTACGTCTAGACGTAATAGTGGCCGTTAAAGTTACGACGCAAAAAAAAAAAAACAAAAAACGTTAAGTTTACGTCCAGCTTGACACCACTACAAAAGCGGCTTGTTAAACACTCGGAATTATCCGGCAGCTGTGGCGTAGTCGGTTAGCGCGGCACGTAAAGGACAGGTTGTCGGGGGTTCGAGCTTCCGTTTCTTTTTTTCGCGCAAGTATTGTTTTAACATTTGCGCCTCCTCATCAGCCTCCCGTAAGCCTGACTTGCAGCCGATAGTCCTGTCCACATGCCCTTCCAGAATGGACCCTTGCAGAATTCGCTATAGCCCCGCCGCGGTGGTTTCCCTCCGCTATATATATATAGCCCCGCTGCGGTGGCTGCATTTCCGCCTCCATCGGAAATGCAGCCACCGCAGCCGGGATTCGAACCCACGACCTGCGGGTCAGCAGCCAAGTACTTTAGCCACTAGACCACCGCGGCGGGGCGAGGCGGAAATGTAGTAGGCTCGTGTGCTTAGATTTGGGTGCACGTTATAGAACCTCAGGTGGTCGAAATTTCCGGAGCCCTCCACTACGGTGACTCTCATAATCATATGGTTTTTTTGGGACGTTAAACCCCACATATCGATAAGAATCGGCTATATTTATTATGACAAAGTGTTTGGTGAGTTATTACTTTTATTCAGCGAGACGCAAAATGACACGAAAAATTTCAAATGCAGCCAGCTGCATTGGTTTCTCCAGCATACACGTCAGAAATGTTGATTTCTACGGTTTATCAAAATTTTGATGGCATAAAGACGCACTGCAACGTAGCCACGCCGAATATACAGGGAACTTCTTTTATGTCACTCAGCCTGACGAGGTAACCGACAGGCTGCTTTAGAGTATACTGACGTGCCACCGTAATTTTCTAGGTGACCAGCACTTGATGAACGATGCTGTATGTCGCACAATTTGCACACTGGATTTTATTAAAATTTGAGCAAAAATTTGCAGTAAAACTGAACACTTGAACCTTAACAATATATAGGAGAAAAGATTCTAACTGCTGTAGTAAATTGCAGTCGAGGTAACACTCAAGCATATTTATCAGGCACACAGGCAAGATGCTTTAAAATTTCCTAGGATGTCATCTTATTAAGTATACCTATAAAAGTACTTATTGGTAACCATAGACTTCTCAAAGGAACATGCTACACATATAAAATGAGCACTGCAGCATTATGTATTATACATTTGTTTTACTGAAACAAACAATAAGGTAGCCATTTGTTCCCAATGTTTGCAAGAGCCAGATTACTTTTATTTCCTTCTTCACGTCAAAACCCAACTATTATTGAAAGCTATATAAAAATTGAAGAGCACTGGTAACTGTAAAGCACATCAACTAGAAAAGAGCTTCAAAATAGAGAGCTGGGCAAAACACAGTACCAGACATATGCTGCTCATTCTTCAGAAAGAACAACCAATAGTCTGAATTCATTGGTCGGATTTACTTTACAGCTGCTCACAACATAAAAAAAACAAAACTTTATATGCCGTCATCAAAAAAATATACGACAGTGTATGACCAGCAATCCTACATACAGCTGCAGCATTTTTCATGCCCGGAAAAATAAGTAGGTACTAAAGGTGAAAAGAGTGCAACAAAGTGACCACGACCAAAGTTTCACCAATGTTCGAAGTAACACCCGCTCCAGTCAAATCTGCTTAAAGCATAATACTGAAGAAATGAATTAATCCTATTATAACCATTCCGAAACCCTGTTGGCACAGAAGATTTTCAGGGTTTAATGCATTAAAATTGGAATGTATTCGGTAATAGAGCTCTTTATTGACTCAAATGAATGAATCATATTGATATACTATCCCCCACAGTAAGATGACAAAGTGTAAACTCAGTACAAAAAATAAGGTGGATATAATGCTTGAAATTTTCATACAAAGGCTGTATTTTTTTCACAACTATAATTTAGGCATTTGTAAAATTACATTTAATACCAATAATTTCTGGAACCAAACTGCCAACACAGGCTTTGTAAATGCAATATACTAAGTAACACCAAGAACAACATGGAAGCCTCTTCAAAAGAGCTTTGAATGGTGTGAAGCTGTTTTAGACAACTACAACCTTGTCCAAAGCATATTTTTTACAACTCCTTACTGTCCCATAAATGAAAAGTCACATGTAAGCAACTATCATGAAATCATATACTTTAAGGCACTCTTAAGTTACTTCAAAATGCACGAGACTACAGCTCATAATTGAAACTTGAAATTTGCCATTATAATTTTGACAACTGCGGCTCCCAAGTGCCATTACCACTGAACTCCACGTCGAGAAATAGCATATCAATGACTAGCTTATAAACACACACACACCAAATATAAGTAACAACATCAGCAATGTTCAAAAGTGCCGGCATGCTTTCCCTGTGGGAAGCATTCAGAACAACTTTATCTCACAAAGCTCTTCAACCTTCTTGATATTATCGTAAGGATATACTAAAAAAAAAAGTGTGATCATTTCCAGGTACAGAGATGTATTAAATGCAGCAATATTAACAGCTCCTTTGGACAACTAAATAATCTCAAATGCAATAACCTGCCCTATTTAGGAAAATATACTACGGCAATGTAACTGGAACTGCTGGCCAGGATATGTAACAAAACATAGTAAACATCAACAAATTACAGCCATTAATACAACAGACAAAAATACCAGTAAAAAACACACTGTACCTATTTATAGTATAGCAGCCAATGCAGAATTACATATCTGCAACACCAGTGTGGTGGCAAATATGCAACCTAGAGCAACACGAATTTTCATATTTATACATAAAAAGAGCATAACTGCAAGAAAAGGCAGTTTACACAAGTAAACATTGCCACTGTCTAACATATACCATGAATACATCTTTATAAAAAGTAGCAGCCAAAAAAAAAAAGAAAGAGAAGCACTGCAGTTCGGCAGAAGATTGAGGCACGGCACGGCGATTCTAGGCTTGAATCACTTTCTCCGTACGTATCTGAAAATAGCATGCCTGAAAAGAAACATGTTGCCTTTTGGTGAATGATTGTGTGGAAAAAAAGATGCACCAAGAAATCAATAACTGTTGCAGCCTACATTCAAGAGACGATGTCTTTTTTCGCTCTCCTAACTTAAAAAGTCTCTCATTTGCTCCCCCCCCATATTACCAAATTGAGCATTCCATGAATGTTAAATAATTTGATGCACTTAAATATGTTAACTATGCTTATTATATTTATGTATAGCCCCTCCAGCTTAGTAAACATGAAGAAAACATTTTAGTCCCTTAACTGCTCCTTTTAAAAAAAATTTTTGATCAAAAAGTGCCTATTTTCTTTATTGCTGATTTGGATTCTTATTGTACTAAAAAGTAGCTAGTCGATGTTGAAAAATTATTTTCACCACATACTTAGTGAAATTAATGGAATAAAGTTTATTTTTGAACAATACGTAGGAAACCAGCTACCTGGTGCTAATAAAATTAAAACCTTACAAACAAAACCGTTACAGACACTGCATCTTCCTTCACTTGTGTAGGCTAAGTACCCTTGAGGTATTTCACTCGGGAAGTTTGAGGGCTATTTGTAAAATTTCAAAATGCGGAATAATGAAAGGCGACTTCACTGGCTGGCACTTGCAATGCTCACTTCCGAGCTGCCTCCATCATCACTAGAGGAGCTCCTCATTCACCGTCATCGCTGTCCTCACTTCTGGACATAAGATGGACAAATATCTGTACTCAAATCATCATCACTTGAAGAAGATGATGAAAACAAATAGCTTCTTTTTCGTGTTCACAGGACAGCTATATGTATATGCATGGGTCGTCACCACCGCACGCCATCTTTCCATACAAATACCATGCTCTTGCTGCCGGAGAAAACTAAATCCTCGAGCAAATGCTACCACCTAGTAGATGACACGCAATGTTACCCATAAATGCCGCCTGAACACTAGAGAGGAGTACCTATTTCACTAGGATGAGTTCTACTTGTACAGAGCAGTTTGGCAATGATTAGAGCAGGACGAGCTCGGCTCATCCAAAGCAGTTATGGGGTTAATGAGATATGCAGCTGAAATTTCATTTTTAAAGGGCCAGTAAACAACCTCAAGGTCAAAAAATTATTATGAAGAGATGTGCATTTTTGCTACATGAACATGCTGCCACAAAAAATTTTGAGAATGTGTACTATAATAAGGAAGTTACAGGGGTTATAACATCAGTATCAGTGGGTTTAAAATTTTTGCTTGGCCTCACCACCCTTTAATGCCTTAGGGAGGGGAAAGGGGTATCCAGTCGACATGACTCCACCCACTTCAGTAATGTGACACGACATCAGCGATACATCAGAGTGCAAGTCAACGACCGAGCAGAGCATCCCCGACATGAGTACGTGTCGTAGTGGCGCGGGGAGAAAGCTTCATTTGAGGAGCACCCCTCCCCCACCGACAAGGTAACGAAACGCCCCTTTATCTCGAAGGCTTTCGTTCTGGCCGTACCACTTTTTCCGGTAGTCTCGGGCTCTACAAAGCTGCAGAGCGCAGCACAGAAAAATGAAAATGCGGACTGTGTGGCCAAAACTGCAACAAGACAAAGCTAAGGCACCATTTCGTAGGGCAAAGGACCAATCGATGGGCTGGTACGTAATGTTGCCCATAGGCAAGCTTCTGTTTCTGCGCGCGTACGAGGAGGATTGTTCAGGTGAAGGAAACAGGCGTGCGACTGTTTTTCGAAATGAAGAGTCTGCACGACTTGCAGTGCTGTAATATTTGAAAAATGTGATGGCTGCGGTCTACAGTATGAGTTAGCGAGCTTGTTTGCAGGGCGTAAGAAAAAGCGTCTGAGCCTGTTTACTAGCCCTTAAACTAATTTCTTGATTTGATCTCTAAAAAAAGCAGTAGAATTAATTTCATTATGCATTCTTAGTTTCAACTTCTTTATAATTAGACTATGCTTAAATACTCCTCAAACTTGCTTGTTCTAGTATTTACTCGTGTAATGAACACAATCCCATAATAAACGCACCCCCAACTTCAGTTGTCAAATTTCAGATTTTTCTTTTCACTGTGTAATAAACGCACCCTCTACATTTGTCCGCCGCAGTCCCGCTAACAGACACCTGGCGCCTCCTTGCCCGTTAGATCTCTTAATTTTTATTATTATGCCAGCCCCCCTCGGCCACTTCGACTTGCTCCTTCTCCCCCTTCGCTCGCTACCCACACGTCGTATAATTTTTCTTTCAATCAGTGTGCAGCACATTTTTGAATATCTATGCACCACAACGGGGTTCACGAACGGTGCAAGTGTAGAGACATCGCAGCTGACAAACACACCGTGAGCGAAGGTCATTAAACTTTCCGCGCCATGCGTCGGTCGCTTCCTGCAAATACGAAACTTGAAGGCCCAACCACATGCGCACAATTTTCGAGCGACGACCCGATTTGCAGTCGCTTCGGCTGTGGCAAAAAGCCATTCATCACAATCACATCGTAGGTTTCTGGAAAAACAGAAATAAACCGCTTGTTGCTCAGAAAAGATCGAGACTATTTCCGCAACATGGTCCCCAATTCTAGCTTCGGTTTCAAGCGAGGCAACCGCTGTATTTTGACGTTAATCTTGTTATCGACTGTTTGTTTTGATGCTTCGGTGGTAGCTTGCTGGAATGTTGGTTACTCGCTACAATGTTAATGGCATCGTCGTAGTAGAAGTGCGAGGTTACCATGAAGTTCGCTAAGTGCGTCGTGCCATCGTAGCACACGCTTCTGGGCGCCCCTCGAAATCACAGCAGATACTACTGCTGCTGTTAAACGATTACGATAAAAGATGGCCGCGAAACGCTTTTATAGCGTGTGCGTGAACAGCTTGCAGGAGATAGCACCCTGAACAACCGAGGATGAGTGAAGTGCAAAAAAGAAGCTGAGCGACCTAACTTTTTTTTTGCATTACTGCATTTTTTTGCTCATACCGAAAAGTTTTCATAAAATTTTCCCCGCATAATAAATGCACCCCCCACTATGCTCCGATTTTTTTTTAGAAAAAAGTGCATTCATATGCAAATAAATACGATATTTATTATCCACAGCAAAAAAAAATGGTTACTTGAATGTGAATGAGTGTGTCATGAGTAATGCATGCTACTTACCTTGACAGTGGTGAACATTATGCCAAGCTCGCCATTCAGAAAGTGGCGCTCCATGAGATCATCCACAAAATTAATTTCTGAGCCAAGATTGCGAATTCGTGCACGCACAACCACATACTGAAAGACTGGAAATAGGTCATCCATGTTCCAAAGAAAGTCACCCAGGCCTTTCTGAACTTCCTGTTTGAAAAAAAGTTTTTCTTTTTAAAAACAAGGTCGCATTAAACTCTCTGCAGCAAATTTTTGAAACACTGAAGGTAAGCACTACTAAATCAGTTTAAGAAGGAGAGGTACGAGTAAAAAAATGCAAGTTTTTTCCAAAAGCGCATATATTTTTCATTTTTATTTGCTTTCACAAGTTTCGTTTCTCTACTTTCACGCCAAAACAACTGAAGGTGGTTATTAAAACTAAACTTGAAATAGGTTAAAATCACTTTTAAGGAGTACAAGGTGGCTACTAAAAACTAAAACTAGCTCATTTTGTAGGGTCTCCTGGAAATTGATACCTGGCTGCTTGCCATTGTATTTATCATGAAGCATTCCCTAAAGTCACATGCTCAATACCGCCATAATTGCCAAGCTCTCATGATGGAATAAAACTTATTGAAAAACATATATTTTCTGCATAGATGACATTTCACTTATACATTTAAGATGCGTTTTTCTCAAGATCCATTTTTGGGCAACTTCTTTAGTTTGGACCTCTGATAGCTCCATTGGGATGACAGTTTGCCCACATATTCCTTAACATGTGAAGGGTGCAAGTATCTCCTTTAAAATTTGATATTGCCTGTATAATTATTACGAACCTAAGAAGAAAGCAATTAGTACAAGTTGAAAATTTTAAGAATTCTAAGATTGCAACTTTTCTTGTCATTAAAATGTCTCATACACAATTTCTTGATAGATATGGGCTTTCTACAGTCAATGTAGAGCAATGTGAGCCATTGATGGCTCAGAACCATAAATGTTTAGTGGCATAAAAGTTTGTCCAAAACAAACTGTACTTTATACATTGCCATGGCATGAAACAAAAACTGTGCGACTGACTATAAAACTGATAACATATCTTAAATCAGCATAAAGCATACATATACATAAATAATTTTATTGTTCTTGGCTACAAATTAACGCAAAATTTTTTTGAATTGCATCTTCCCTTAAATAGCAAAAAAATGTTCTTTAAAACTTTATTTTCATTTATCAAATAATAAGTAATATGTGGGCTTTTACATCCCAAAACTATGATATGATTATAAGGAATGCCATAGAACGTAATGAATATGTGGGCGTTTGACATGTCAGTGCTACTGACGGGCACTGAACAACGTTATGTAGAAGTTGGTAGGCAAGTAATAATACACAATAGTTCACACAAACTGCCATGGGTCGTATCTTTAGTAGTCTATAAGCATATAGAGTTGAGTCTGTTTTTGGTATGAAAAGAAGGGCACATACTGCTGTGTTCTGTGCTACTATGAAGGGTTTCAGTGTTGTCGGGTAGGTTAATCCAGAAATTACTACAGCATGTGTGATGTGTGAGGATATGAAAGAATGGTATAATGTCAACATTGTCCTTATTGGAAAACGGCAGCATAGCCTGTAAATGATAGGTATTTTTCTGTATATTTTAAATGTTGTCTCGTGTATGTGAGTGTGCCATGAAAGTTGTTCATCCAAGTATACACCAAGAAATTTTGTATTACTATATTACAGTGTTATATTCATTTTAAGGTGATTACTTGAAGTTAAGTGAGCAATTTTGGGGGCAAAGATAACATAGTTAATTTTAGAGCTGTTGGGAAGTATTTTGTTTGATTGAAGCTAAGATGATAACTTTTCTAAGGCTGCTATTCCTTTATGATATAGGATAGTTTTGTTTTTGCTGTTATAAATATGCTAGTGTCACCTGCGTAAAGATACCATCTTCCAATGTTACGGACGGCAGATCATTAATATAAGCTGAGAACAAGAATGGCCCTAGAATTGAACTTTACAGAACACCTCTATTTGTTATACACTGACATGATGATACACTGCTGATGTATACATATTGCTCTCTATTTCTTATATAGTTACACAACAGCATCAGCACTATCCCACGTATCCCATAGTGTTCTAGTTTGGTTAGAATAATTTGTCAGGGTCAAGCACGTCAAATGCTTTTGTTAGGTCAATAAAAATACCCATTGTAAGTAGTTTATTTTCTATGTTTATTTTTGTTTTTTTAACAATATTAAGTAGAGCATGTTATGTTGATTTTCCATTCCTGAAGCCGTATTGCTCAGGTGCGTACAAATTGGGTTTTTCAAAAAACTTGTTCAGTATACTTTACATCGGCCTTTTAACAAGTTTGGTTAATCCTGGCAATATGGCGATTGGACGATAATTTGCAACTTTTGTCCTGTTGCCTTTTTTAAGCACGAGTATTATTTTAGCTATCTTTAATTTTGAAGGAACCCAATCATTTTCGAAAATAGCATTTATGACATATGTTAATGGCTCAGCTAGAAGTGTAGCTAAGTGTTTCAGTATTTGAACTGATAGGCCGTCGTCACCTATTGACAAGGTGTTTTTTAATACAGTTAGCAATTAGTAAAATAGCATAAATTTACTAGAGAGCACGCATGTCACTCTCACCATGGTGGCAGGTGAGAAATGACAAAAGTTTACTACTCTTCATTGACATTAAGGGTAGGTGTTGTATTTTAAAAATGCCAGTTCAGTTTTCACAGGTTGGCTCACAGGTGGCTATGTGTACTACTCTTCATTGACATTAAGGGTAGGTGTTGTATTTTAAAAACGCCAGTTCAGTTTTCACAGGTTGGCTCACAGGTGGCTACGTGTACCATGGATATGGGAGCATCACGGGATAGAATACTTAGGTGGCAAGCGAAAAAGTGTTCAAGGCACTAAATGTTCTAAAGACATCTCTTGCAATTTGGTACATCACATTCAAATCAGTATTTTACAAGTAATGAATAAATAAGCATGAACTTTGTGTTCCAGCTCATACAGCGTATGATAGCATGTCTTGAAGCTATCAGCGCACAATACTGTGCACGCTGCTTAACTCCTACATCCAAAATAAATCCGCTCGAAATGCCTACACGGACTACGTTATTTTTTTCACGGTTCATGTGTAGATACACGCTGTTGCATTTGAATATGTGTAATATTTACGATTTAAGAGTATTCAACAAGTGGCGACATGTTTTTTCACTTCGTGTTCCTGCAGCGCAGACAAGCAGCGGGCCATAGAACAGCTGGCTTGCTTGATGTAACATACCTTTCCCGTAGAGCTGCTGGAGCCCACAGGGCATTCTGGGATTACTTGAAACACACAGGGATTCTGGGAAACATTTTCATACTAACGGAACTAAAACAGTGAATCGTCTATTGTCCTTGTTTCAGTTCCGCTTGTAATATGTACTAAAATCAAAATTAACTAGCCCAAATTTCAGCTTTAATTGAGAAAAGTTCTCTAGTTTACATTAAACAGAATGTCCTTCATTTTTGCTGAAAATTAATTAATCAGGTCCAGAGAGACACCATCAAAATAAATGACGTATGTACTCATATTTTATATCATGCTTGGAAATGGTGCTTTCACTTTCTGGTTTACCAGCATATTCTCATAATATGAACGGCGCTTTGGTATTATAGAAAAATAATTTGCTAATAGTAAGCCAAATAATTTTTCTCTTTAGTATTTATGTGATGATCAAAACAAAATTTCAAGAAGTTTAGTCTTTGAATACACTATAAGGTTTTAAAATACATGTGAACATTGCGCTTGTCTGTATTTTTCTATTTAATGTATATGTGACGAGCAAGAAAAAAATTTAAAGGTTTCCTTATTTGAACACACTGTAAGGTTCTAAAGAACCCTTGAAAATTTGGCTTGTCTCTGTTATTATCCCCCTTTATGAGACTTCTTCTGACTAGGGTAATAGGCATTCATTAAAACTGGTTTTTTGAAGATGCTTGATAATTTGGGCTACTTCACAGTGCCGCTACGTATCTCACGAAGCCAATAAATTAAAAAGTCTGAAATGTCATACGATGAAACCTTTCACCGTCCAATTTTTCAGTAATTAAACAGTGATTGCAGGTTACAAACAGCCATTGTTCAAAGCCATCACTACCATAAAACTGATCATAACAGAACCTTGATTAAGCATTCTCGCACACTGATCACCAGGCAGCCGCAGTGGTTCTTCAACAATCACCTTCACCACAATGCAGGGTTGTTACATGCGCCCCCGACATATATTCTCACAATGCATTCAGCAAGATGCCTAATAAGCATACTGGCAAGCCTTCAGACCTATTTCACATCTTTTTAAGGCTTTGAGGGCAATAAAAGAACATTTGTTCACTTTCAAAATGGCATTTGTTCACTTTTCTGACATTGTATACACTTGGACAATTTTGCAGTACTTAGGGTGTTTAAAAATTAATCTGACAGGTGCCAGACGCACATCCAGTAACTAATTCACACCACACAAATCCAGGTGGCCTCTGGCTGGTGTAGTGATAGTACAGTGCTAACAATGATGGAGCCATGTGCCTAATCTACATTGGCGTAATCATAGGGGGCGCCAAGGAGATTCTGACCCACTTGCAAGCGTCCTCCCTTAAGATTTAGCTTCATAACACCATATATTTGAATTATTTGACAGGTAATTGCAGCACATTAAACTTTTTTAAAGCCTGTTTATTTTTTAGGAAGTACCTGTGTTCGATACGCCTCAGAAGTGTAAGACAAAAAATCAAAAGCCGCTCGACCGATTGAAATAAACAATGCAATCGCTCAATGTGGGACCCAAAGTTCATTTTTGAAAGTTTATTTTGAATTGTGATTTAATTCTCATGTAAATAAAAATAGAACTCATACGTATATAAAAAAGGGGGCCACCATTGTCTGACGTGTGTGTCCCCCCTTTGCAATTTTTTTTTGTTTATGCCACTGCTAATCCACACCGCAAAAGTGCAAGTAGAATCTGGCTGGGCTGACAATGCTAAAGTGATAACACTAATGAGCAATGTGTCATATCCCAGTTTTCCAAACATAACTTTCTGAATACAAGAACTTAGCATCAAGCTGTATGTATTGTCTCTAATACTACAGCTTCAACGACAGACAAAACAGAACAATCGTAACCCCTAAATCCAGT